GTTTCACCACATTGGTCAGGCTGGTCTTGAAGAACTCCTGACCCCAAGTGATCTACCCGCCTCAGCCTCCCAAAGTGCTGGGGTTAAAGCGCCCAGCTGTGCATTCTTTTTCATTAAACTTTTTAACTCCAGGATTTCCATTTAGTTCTTTATTATTACTTAATGTTTCTTTATTGATATTTTCTTTTTGGTAAGACATCATTCTCATATTTTTCTTTAGTTCTTAGTTCTTTAGATATGGTTTCCTTTACTTCTTTGACTGTATCTAAAATAGCCGATTTAAGTTATTCTCTGATAAAGCTAATACCTGGGCTTCCTTAGGGACAGTTTCTGTTGGCGGCCTTTTTTTTTTTTCCCCCTGTGAATGGGCTGTACTTGCTTCTTTGCATGTATCTTAATTTTGTATTGAACAGTGGACATTTAAAATAATATAATGTGGCAACTCAGAAAACTAGATTCTTCTCCTTCCTCAGACTTGTTGTTTGTTTGCTACGTGACTCTTATGAACTAATCCTGTTAAAAAAAAAAAAATCTCTGTTCATTTAGTATACTGGACAGATAATAATTGGACAGAGAATTCTTTAAATACCTGAGATAAAAAATCTCCCCTTCTTTGATAGGGACTCTGTGTGCATGGTGGGGCATGCCATACCTTCAACACTCAGGCAGTTGACAGCTCCACCTTAGTCTTCATTTCCTGCCTTCACAGATCTTCAGGATCAGCTGGAAGTGAGAGTTTAGGCCTTCGTGGGTCTTCGCTGTGCACACAGCCCTGAACGTAGCTGAACCTCTATGGATGTTTCATTCCCTGGCTCTTCCTTTTAAACATTCTGATTAGCTTTTTATTTGTGTTCAGGTAGCCACAGTCTTCAACAGTTACCTCTGATTTTTTTTTTTTTTTTAACAAATGCCCCCAATGAAAAGGAAGTTTGCCCTGGGTAAGACAGACACACAGTCATGCAGGAAGCAAGTACAGGGAAAAGAAGAAAAAAGACAAGCACACAAGGGGAACCATAGACAGGTCAGTTAATAACAGATCTCTGGGAATGGGGCTGTGAAGGCTCTCCAGTCTGCTCTTCCAGTGTCTGCCAGCCTCCTGATTTCCACTGTGATGTGGGCTATTGCTTTTCCAATATGCTGGGGAGGTGAGGATCGCAATAGGGTAAACTGAAATGCTACAAAGGTCTCTGTTCTTACTGAGAGTTGGCCATTTTTCTTGAACAAATATTCTCCCAATTGCTATAATTCTTTGACTAATTTCCAGAATTCAGAAATGTTTGGTTCTGACAATTTCTTCCAGTGTAATCATTGCCTTTATGGAGGAGAGACTTTTCAGATATTCTTAATTCACCATTTTCACTGACATGACTTGAATTATTTTTTTCCTAGCTATTTTTGTCATTTTTCTTGATTCTAAGGTGCTCACATTCTTTCAGCTTCATAAAATAACTGGCATTGTGCAATGTTTAGTATGCATTGTTTCTACTGCACTACCACCACCCCTGCTACTAATACTAATACTACTGACAGTGATACAGTGTGTTGTTACACCACGTGCTTCCTAGTGTGAAGTAGCTCATATGCAGTTGTTATCAGGGAATCTTGTCACTGTAGCATAAATCAAATTAGTCCATATGTAATTTTTTCTTCATGAGGAGAGCGAGAATACTGAAAATAGAAGAACAACCCTCAGCAGGAAAGGAAAAATCCCTATTTGGGTCTTGGCTGCTACAGGAGCATTTTGGTTTTATTTCAAGAAAATTTAAAAAACGCACCTACATGTTCAGATCCCTGCCTTGGGAGGCGCAGCCCTCAGCCACTGGCAGGTTGCACTGCCTCTGCAGCCCACTGTCTCAGAGCTCCACTCCCATCTGCATGGTCTCAGCATGTGCCTACCTCAGTCTGAGTGTCACATGCTTTTCTATTCTATCGTTTTTATTTTTGATGTCCTCTGTAGTAGTCTCCTGCTACATTGAGTTACTTGCCTGAATAAACCAAGTCACCTTCCCCAGTGCAGTTTCAGTTTGTGTTCTTAAATGCTCCATTTCCAAAGCTGGATATGTTTTTGTTTTTTGATTTCTGTTTTTTAATGATCACTAAGATCCTTCTAACCCCAACAGTCTGTAATTGTGTTTCTGGGTACAAGTTTTTAGAAGAAATTCAATTTATATTTTCCCAAGGCCTAGAAAAAGAACAACATATGAATGAATTTAGTATGATATGCTGGCAAGAACAGAAGCTAGAAGCCTTTGAAATCAGATCTGAGTTTGTTTGGATTATGGCTCTGCAATTTAATAGCTGTGTGATGTTGGCTTAGTTGGTTAAGTCTCAAGTTTCCCATTTGTTAAATGGGGATAACAGAGTGATTGTGAGGATTTAATGAAATAATGTATATAAAGGTTGTTACCTAAGTGATTGGCACAAATTAGGCACTCCACAAATGTTAGGATTTTCATTTCTCTTTCAGTTCCAAGTATTTGCAACTCGAGGGATGATGGCTCTGAGCTGTCTGAGCTTTTTTTCTGTCCAAGCCTGCTCTGATCTAGTCATTCCCTAATGGTTTTTTTAAAATACAGCTTTATTGAGATGTATTTCACATATCATAATATTCACCTGTTTCCACATAAAAAAATTCACCTATTTTATAAATTTATTATAAGTTGCACACTTTATTTAAAGTGTGCAATTCAGTGCTTTTTAGTGCATTCACAGAATTGTGTGACCATCATCAAAATCCAATTTTTGGAACATTCTCAGCATACCTAAAAGAAAGCCAATACTCATTAGTAGCCATTTCCTGTTCCCCAATACACAGGTTTTGAGTGGTCTACCCCAACTCTTTTTTTCCTTTAAGCCCTGTTGCAGTTTTTCTAGAATGCATATATTATGTTAACAGAAATGCTAGTAGTATAATCTGGTCTTTTGCCCACATCCATGAAAGTGTTCTTTCTGAGGTTACCTTCTGATTGCCAAATCAACCCACACTTTTTGGTCCTTATTTTTATTTGCCCTTTCTGTGGCCATTTGCACTATTGGTCACTTTTTGTTGTTGACACGTTTATCTCCCTGGTTAAGTTTGCATTCTCTCCTACTCTCCTTCCGTCTAGTTGTTCAATTTCATCTACTCGGTTGATCCGTCTCATTTAAATATGGGTTTTCCCAAATGTTCTATCTATAGCTTTCCTCTTCTAATGCTGAGTGACATATTCTCCATATTTTACATGATGTCATTTTTAATATTTTTCTTTAGTTTCTGTTAGCGGTTTGCTGTCGTACTGAATTTAGGTATACCCATTACTTTGACTTTCTAACAACTTTAGCGTTTCCTTTGAAAAGTTATTTTTGTATGTTTAATAACTATAAGATAGGCCTTATTATTTAGTTTGTGAGGGCGTAGAGTTGTTAGCTAGACTAATTCCCAGGTGTACATAATCTGTTTGTATTTCCTCTTCGGTTTCTGTTCCTGGTTCATTTTTTCCATTGAAGACCAGCTACTCTTATGTAGGTACTTGTGTGTGGTGTGGTTGTTGTAAATTAAATCTTTATCTGTCTTTTTCAGTCATACAATTTTTATGGTCCAGTTTTTGCCTCAACTTTTTTTGAATAACATACTTTAAAAATGTATTTTTTATTAAACCTGTTTACTTGACACAAGTAATTTTTTTATGATCTAATTTTCAAAAACAGTTGTCAGGCCCTTGGAAGAGCATTCCCTGGATTGCTGCACAACAACACAGAGGAGAAAACCATTTGTCCCCTTCTTAACAAGGTGTAGGGAAAACAAGAAATGAGAGAAAGGTGAATAAAGACATTTCATAGTGAATCCTTTTCAAGAACTTGAAATCCAGGACTTAAAAGAAATCTTCAGGAGGGAAAATGCATTATTTTTATAGTTAAGGGATTGTTTTTAGTTTTAATTGAATTTAATTCTGTATTTTATTGTGTTAGAAATTTTGGATTTTAAAAAAATATTGTTGAGTGAAGGTCTGCAACCCTAGGCATAAGGTCTGTGATTACCTATCCTACCAAGCATTACTGTAGCTAATTACAACCAAAGCAGGTGGTATCTGTAGAGTCATGGTAGGCCTCAGGTTTATGTGTCCAACTTTCCTTAACTGATCTTCTTGTCCTCCCTCCATCCTTCAAACTAGATATTAGTCACTGTCAGTCAAGGTGTCCAGTGGAAAGGCACTGGCCCCTTGACATCATTTTAAAAATTTGTTATATAGAGCCTTTAAGCTTAAAAACAGGCATCCATCTGCTCCTTTTATTTGCTTAAATAAATAAAAACAAACAACTTAAAGGTTGTGATTTCTGGGTATTTTATGTAAGCTTCCCAAGTACTTGGAATATATTCTTCAGTTTATGTAGCATATCTATAATTCTGTTGAAATTCTAATTTCACAAACTAGGAGGCATGTTTTTCTTTCCATGTCTATCATAAAATAAATTATGTGGGTCTTTGCTTTGTCTTCCTGTCAGTCGTAAAGCTTCCACTAATTAATGAGTGTCTCGTGTGTCTGTGAAGAGTGTAGAAGCATGGTGACACAATCAAGTCTAAGTCAGGAGCAACCACTTGTGGGGGAAGACTGCTGATTTCACTGCTGTGGTTAAGCCATTTGACCTATAAAGGGGTTATGTAATCAGAATTTTAGAATAATTCTTGCAGTACTGAGACGACTATTAGCATCTTTTCTGGTGGCAAGTATATACCTGCGTACAATTTTTAATTGGCTTATTCTTTGAGATACATACCCAACCATTGTTCATGCTAATACCTTCTGTTTTTGATTATTTGCTCTGTGGAGCAATAAGAACCGAGTGTGAGTGGAGATTAGGATCGCAACTATGTACTGCCTGTAGGTACTTCTGGCTTCTGGTTCTGTTTGTGTAGAAGCTGTGGCCACTCTTTTGTTGTGGTACAAGCTCTTAGTCCCCCCTTCTATTTTGTTTGTTTGTTTTCAAAATCATCTGGAAACCATCTGATATTCTTTTTCTAGATGTCCTGGAGCTTCTCATCGGAGAGTTGCCCTGGAAAGAAGGAAAACTAGTAAAACTCAGGCAGACATTGAGAATGAAAATGGGCCCACGATACTAGATCCTGCAGTTACCTTATCTCCAGAAACGGACTGTTTGGGGACAGGCACAGTGCCTGTGGAGCGGCACTTGACATCAGCGTCTCTTTCCGCATGGAGTGAGGAGCCTGGCCTTGACAACCCTGCCTTTGAGGAGAGTGCTGGAGCTGACGGTATGTGTGGCGCAACTCCTTGTGTATTTCACCTGTTTCCTTTCTTCCCGCTACTTGCCCAACACATACTTTTTTCTTTAAGGGGGAAAAAAACTTAAAGAAAAATAAATAACAAAAACAAAGAAAAAAACTTTATTGAGATGTAATTTATGTACATCATTCACCCTTTTCATTGTACAATCTTCACTAATCAAACAGCACTCTCTCTAATACAAACCAGCACTCTCTACATACAGAAGCCTCCTAACAGTCTACATTTTAGAAACAAATCACAAATTTTACCCCAGAGGCGGGTGGTCCTAACCCATCCCTTTTCTGTTGCAGTCTGTGAACTCACCACCTATTCTCATGGTTCTTACTGTCTGTGTGTGTGTGTTCAGAAACTTCACTTCTTGTCCTAAGAAGTCAACATCAAGAACAACACAAAATACAGAGCTCAGATTAAATGCTATTCTGTGTCAGGCACTGTGCCAAACATTTTATATCTATTGACTGTTTAGATGCTTTATAGCATTTTAAGTTTTGGGTTTTTTTTTTTAACAAGAAAACTGAGGCTCAAGAGATTAATTGGTTAAGTTTATGCAACCAGTAAATAACTGGGCTTGTATCTGATTCCAAGACCATGCTTCTTACCATTATACGCCTCTGGTGCCGGCTACTGCTCTATAACCCACTAGGAAGTTAACAGAAGGCCTGTAGTCATGGATCTTGGGCATATCATGGTAGTTGGCCCTTGGTATTTCCTTTTAAAAATGATTTTCTTTTTCCAGCTCTACTACAAATTTGAATTTTCCTTGCCGCAACTATGCATCTTCTTTGTTTCCTACGGCTCTGTTCAAGACCCACCTCTTCTTAGGAGCTTGATTTGGCTACTCTCTCAACATCTGTGCTATTTCTATGCCATAGAGCTAGTGTTTCCATTGTACTGCCTTGCATTTTGTACATGTTTCATGGTCCATACTTTCTCTCATCAGTTAGGCAGAATGACTTTCTTTTCATATTTCTTAATCAGATCACTGTGTCATCCCTAGTGATCTGACACATAGTAGCTATTTATTAGTTATTTACTGATCACTTTTGGTAGAGAAAATCTTTAGATAATCTTAACATACAGATATTTTGTCATTTTGTTTCTTATCCTTTTGTTTCTTTGTTGCTTAGCTGTTAATCATGTATTAATATGACATATTTACCTGAAGATAATCAGAATATAAATTGTTGGGGGGTTTTTTTGACATATGTTTTTCTCTGTCTGATTTTTAACTTGGCAGCCACACAACAGCCACTTAGTTTACCAGAAGGAGAAATCACCACGATTGAAATTCATCGGTCCAATCCTTACATTCAGTTAGGAATCAGCATTGTGGGTGGCAATGAAACACCATTGATTAACATTGTCATCCAGGAGGTCTATCGGGATGGGGTCATCGCCAGAGATGGGAGACTCCTTGCTGGAGACCAGATTCTTCAGGTATCAGTTTTAATTATTCTGTTAACGTGCGCCCTTTTGTTCTTATACTTAAACCTTAGAAAATTCTGTTATGGAACCTAAATTATATATAGGTAGTTTTGCTGTTTCTATATGCAAAACATCAGAATTTATCTATAAATTTGTGTTATTTTCCAATATACACGGAATATTTTTTTTCTTCGTACCTTAATTTTCATTTCTGCATGTGATGTGGCTTGGCATGTGATCTCAGGCTCCCTGAGCTAGCTAGACTCTTCCCTGGTCTGGCTAGCCTCTTCCTGCTTGGACTTCTTGAGTAGCTGTTCAAGGGCCACTTTCATCCATGTCGAAATTATCATCTCATTGGCTTTATTACACCCCGTTTTCCCATTCATTACCTTCATTGTTAGAATTATCCATTTCTGCACAGATTACTAAAATCTAGAAAAGAAAAAACCACGCAACACTCATAATTTATACCACAGAATGTAAGATAGAGTTCAGAAATCTTACAGTCATCTCCTGTCAACCCCCTAATGCACTTTCCCCAGCAGACAGTCTAATTCTGCATTTTCAGTAATCCCGTTGTTCCCCTTACTGTTTTCCCTTTCAGAAGATGATCTTTAGCAAGAAACAGGTATTCTCAAAAAAGAACTAGCATGGGACAAGGTATTTTATTAGAGGGCATGTTGAGATGAGCGTAGGAGGATGGTAAGAATTCTACAAGACCGGAGTTTATGTTAATGCTGGCCTGGAACATTTACATCATACAAGGATGATAATTATTAAAGCTTAAAAAATGGATAACTTCTAGGAGAGAGAAGAAATAAGAAAAAATATTTTCTGCCAACCCAAGCACAGGGACTCCTCTCTCCTTGGATTTGTGGATTCAGTCCTTCACCATGACCTGTTGATACCTACCCCCTACTTCCATTTCCCTGCCACTTCTGGAGTCTAGGACTTCATTACTTGATATCTAATTTAGTATAATACCCTATTATATACTTCTGCCTCCACTCTTCTCCCTTAAATCTGACACAATCACTACCAGTTTAATACATCCGTAACCCTGCTTGCCTTGCAAAGATTCAGCTAGGAGGTCAAGTCCAGACTGATTAATCTAATAGTCCTGGTCCTCTATGGTCTCTTATATAACCTGTCTTCTTAATCTCTTTATTTCAGGCACACTAGCTTATTCATTTCTCATGATGTTCTGAGCACTGTACTAGTTGCTGGTGGTACATTTCAGAGCAAAATACTGACCTGTCCTCATGGAATGTATAATCCAGCAGAAGAGCCAGACATAGCAATCTTATTCCTGCAAACACCTTATTCCCACACTGCAAACTGTCCTCATCTCATGCACCAGTCTGATCACCTTCATCCTTAAAGCTTTTGTTCAGCCATTCTCCCCCATACTGATTCTTCCTACATTAGTTATTAGTATTCATCGCTTTTCTCTTCATCACTTGGCACGTGATCAGTTACAGTAAATTATGTGAACATTTCACATATGTAGGCATGATCTGTGGTAACTGCAACCACCCTAACGGTACAGATTATGAAACAGATTTCTCATAGCTTATAATAAGTAAGTGCTCAGAAAACACTTGCTGAGTCAATAAAAGAGTGAATTTGAATATAACATGCCATTGGGAATAGCCATCTTTTTTATTAAAACAAAAACTTGGTTAGTGTTTTTAGTTCTTGAAAGGAAATCTTTAGACTTGGGGCTGGGGAAGGCTACAAAGGCAGCCAGGATTGATCTTCCTGCTAAGGATTCTTGGGTTTGGTTTCCACTCCCGTTTGTATGCTGCTTTTCATGGTGTATTATTCCTGAAAATGATTAACACTGAGGCCAAAACCCTTCCTTCATTACCCCTACCATGGCTGAGACAGACTGAACTTTCAAAAAGTGTTTTGTTTTTTACTAAATACTTAGAGGAAATAGAGGAATACAGGAACATAACTAATCCAGCTTATATAAAATCAGATTTCTGATCCTGTCATAGCTAGCTGTTTAGTTATCCTAGCTGCTAGTACTCTAGCTGCACAGGCTGGCACAACTTGCAGGACCCCTTGAATTTCTTACATCCTAGCTCCTGACCTGATTTTTCAGAGGGACTCCTACAGCTCATTTCCCAGCATCATCCTCCCAGACATCTTGACATTTTGGCGGTCAAGACCAGGAAAGCCAGATAGTCCTTTTCTGCAGCCCAGTGTTCTTTGACTCACCCACTTCCGGGCTTTTTAGCTAAAATTTAAGTGTACACTTATTTTTGTGTTTTGTTTTTTGCTACCAGCCCAGTATTGTTACTATAGTTATACATTTTTCATTCTCCCTCTTAATTTTAAAAGTAAAAACAAATGTTTTTATTTATAATTCTTTGAATATAACTGAGATTTGTTTTTTAGATTTTGTTCACTAATACACTTCATCATTGGGCTTATTTCTATCATAGAGAATGATTCATTAACTGAATCTTTATACCTCAAAAGATTATAATTATCTGAAATTGTCGACCATATTTTTGGGAATTAACTCAAAGTTGTAAAGTCTACATTGTAGAAATTCCATTGCATTATTACTGTTTATGTAAACCTGTATACTAATAGCTCCAATAATGGCAATCTTATATCTAATTTAATGATTCAAATTGATAAGGAAAGTCTGAGCACATAACCTGATTAATGAATTCACAAAGTGTCTCCCCTATTATAGGCCCTGACTTCTGGTTGGCTTTTAACTGGTGTGTTGGAGCCAGTAAATAAAAGCCACACCCCTTTCCCAGATATGGACTATTGATGGTTATTCAAAAGTAAACACTTGGAAGGAGGCCTGTTTGGTATATTTTACTATCTGTTCACCTCCAACTTTGTGTAAGCTGAATAAATATAACACAGTGAACCAATTTGAAAATCTTAAAGAGGCAGTAAGATGGTTCATTTGCAGACCAATGAGCTAGCTTACATTTTCATTTTTGCAGACCATATTCATAAGCAGTGTGTGGCTTTGGTGGTTTTCCCACATTTATATATATATTTATTTACATACACAGATATTATTAAATAGACACTCTGAAAAGGAGAACCATATGCCCTCAGAGCCATTTGCTACACTTAGAGTTTCATATGCAGCCTTTTTGAGCACTTTTGAAGAAAAAAAAATTGCTATTATAAATTACCTCAATTTCATTAATAAAAGTAATATAACTTAGAACATTATTAAGTATTTTCAGTTTAATGAAGTCATCGATAATGTAGGCATTTTCAGTTTTGTAGGAAAATAATTACAGCTGTTAATTGTATTGGTAAAAAACAAAACAAAACATGTAGCTCAAAAATGTGATAGTTTGCTATGCTGATGCTATTTTTACAAAATCTGGAAACAGTATTTTATTTGGTTTCTGCTTTCTCTGAATTTCACCGGCAACCATGCATTCCTGGAAGAGAAGTCTTTTTCCAGTTGTAGAATATTCCCCAGCCTGCTTCACAAATATGTTATGAGGCTGCAGGTTTACACATGGCTGGATTTTAGCCAAACATTTTTTAAAGTCGTTTGTGATATGTGTTATATGTCTGAATATAAGATGGAGAAATGTGAACCTGCAGGTAGGTAGCTTTTAAGCTAAATAGCTGGAAATGGTGGTTTTGACTAATGAATCTATGTCTGCCTGGTTTTTTAGAAGCTGCTTCTTAAATATAATAGAACTTCGGAAGTTCTCTTCTTGACCCTGTATTATTCAATAGTTTTACCAAGGACTTGGTTGACTACCAAAGTCATAAATGTTGCAGACTTGGGAGAAAAAAAGTTTGTGTATGGCTTCTATGAATTCTGAAAGGTGTAAATAGGTCAAAATCAACAAATTCAAAATAGTCATATTTAAAACTATCATTTTTTACATGCTGTTACATATCCAAGGATCAGTCACTATACTTTTTTAAGATTATAGAGGTTAATAAATAAATGTTGTATGAGTATTGAATTATGCTTAATGCATTAGATATACATTACATTTTAGTTTTAATGGTAAAAACCTTAATTACTTTTGCATCCACCTAATACTTGTGTGCTGAAGAATTAGAGTGAAATTACAATTAACCTGATTTTCTTTCAAGTTAAAAGTTGCTTATTATAATAAGGTTGTATACCTGGAATATGCCACTTTCCTTAAAATAACAATTTGTTTTGTCTAGCTTAAGTGTATTTCATTTGGAAAAAGCAAATTTGTAATCCAGTAAAACTTAAATTTTTGTTCCACTAGAATTAGTATTTATTGTATTAGTATTTGCCACAGGTTGATCTGTTCGTTCTCATACTGATCCCATGAAGTAAACACATTTTACAGATGAGGAAACACATTCCGACAAGTTCTGTAATTTGCCTAAGGTTATCAGTTAGTAAATGGAAGAACCTAGGACTCATATTAAAGACTGTCATTAAAGCCCGTGATCCTAGCTACTATTTTTTCCTTGATGCTGGTCATTGTAAGTTAATACTAGAAACTCTGTTTTTAAATGTCTTTGATGTGGTTTCTTTGTAAATAATGGTTGTACAGCATTCTTACCATACTAGCACTCTCGCAATACTTAATTTTCCTTGGAAATGTTACATAAACATTCCTACAAATTGGAAAAATAAAAGGTTGTCACACTTTGGTCACAATTCTTTTTTTCTAGGTCAACAACTACAATATCAGCAATGTGTCCCATAACTATGCCAGAGCTGTCCTTTCCCAGCCCTGCAATACACTGCATCTTACTGTGCTGCGAGAGAGGCGCTTTGGCAACCGAGCACACAGCCATTCTGATAGTAACTCTCCACGAGAAGAGATTTTCCAAGTGGTTCTTCATAAACGGGACTCTGGTGAACAGCTTGGCATTAAATTAGTGCGAAGGACAGACGAACCAGGTGTTTTTATTCTTGATCTGTTGGAAGGGGGATTGGCTGCACAGGACGGCAGGCTCAGCAGCAATGACCGGGTGCTGGCCATCAATGGGCATGACCTGAAGCATGGAACTCCGGAGCTTGCTGCCCAGATTATTCAGGTAAATCCTCTTGGCCTTCATTCCAAACGCTTGGCCATAATGACCATATAGCAGTATTTGTTTTCATTGGCAAATGACATCAGAATTCAGGGGACATTTTATATTTCATTAGAAAATCAGGTGTAGCTACCTGAGTTCTTTAAAATCCACACAAGTATAACTTCATTGGAGATAGTCTTTTCTAAAAACTGCATCCCCGTGAACTTTGGGGATGGTTATTTACAGAGTGTGGGCTGTACTGTTTCACATTCATTTCTCATTTGGGCTCTTGGTTCCATGATTAAGCCAGATGTAGCAGATGGTAGTGTCCACCATTTAGAAGTGAGGAAAGGGAAGCTCAAAAGAGTTGTGATTACCAAGGATCTGACTTACATGGTGTCTTAACTCCCTGACTGGATTTATATAAATAGGAGAAGAGTAACTCTTATCTCTATAGCGCCTTGTTGGTGATGTTTTTAAGGAATTCAAAGTGTTTAAAATACATGATAAAATTTGTCCACATAGCATCCTTGTGACGTAAGGAAGGATAGTCATTATTAGAGAAAGAACATGTTTTTTATAAAAGCATGAAGACAGATAAATTGGAAAGTCATCCAGAGAAGATATACACATTCTGCAGCATGCCATAGCATTTAATGATATGAGCAACTTCTACAGTGATAAGGGTGCAACAAAAAGATGTTTTTCTTAAAGTTAGCAGAGCAAAACACTGTAAAGGAAACCAAGCATTATATAATTGAGTACCAGGAAGTAGGGTAGGCTGATAGTCATTGAAAAATGTATTTACAACACAGAATCAAATAACAATGAAAATTTAAGACTATAAGAAAATCCAAGTCTCAACCCTCTTTATTGTGTTGAGAGGAGATTTTGATATTGGTCTAATTTCATAGACTTGAGGTTTAAAGAAATTGAATGCCTTAAAATCTCCTTAAATCAGAGGCAACATTAAGACCTATATCTGTGGGTATCGGCCAGCAGCTGCATCACTAAAACCCAGCTTATCTTGTAAGAGTGGAGATTGGTGGGAAGGAGGGGAAAAAAGAAGAGGAAGAGGAAGAAAAAAGCTAATGGAGTTGTAGCATTTGTTTGAGTAAAAGAGTCAAGTGAGAGGTTGAGAGGTCAGCTCAATAAGATAGAAAATAATAGATAAACTATATGTCAGGCAATGTTTAAATTATCTAATTTAATTTAAATGTTTAAATTATCTAATTTAGTTCATTCAGTTGGATGATTCTAACTAAATTTCTAACCAAAATATAAGAAGTATAGATACACAGGTAGAAAATGTATTTTAAATTGTCCATGATAATATTTTATATTTAAATGTTTATGTTTCATCATCTTTTGTGCTATAATTTTCTCCAAATAATGGAAAACTGAAGTTGCTCAATTTGTTTCTTTTTGAAAATAAGTAAAAGTCCTACTGCTTTTGGATTTTATATATATATACACACATACATACTCCATGTCGTAAAAGGAAACCAATAATAAATGATTTTTGTGAGGCATTAAACTTATCACTTATTTTCTAATGTAAGAATTGAAAATAAAGTGTTTTCTTAACATAATTGACTATAATCATGGGAGAGGTCTCCACTTTGTACTACAATTTCTTTAAAGCAGGCTATTATATTTTCCCGTAGGTATTACAGTAAAATTCGGCATTGTGGTCGTGACCAAGAGTCATCATCAAGTAAATTAGATTTACACTTTGAAAGGAAGGATTACATCACTTGTAAAAATATAACTGGTATAAACGTATGTTCAAAATATAATAGATAATAAGCCTGTAAATTTAAAACAATAGTCATGAATCTCTAAAATAATTTAACCCTTGAGATGTGTGTGTCACATTCACACACATATGCCATACACACACACACATACACACACACGTACGTATATATAAAGTCTTGTTATGCAGGATTTCTGTAGTCATTATTTTCAAGAGTGTTGAAGCTGATGTCCTATTTTTGACTCAGACCTAAAGCAGCAGAAACAAAGCTGTGCAGAATTTCATTATTATTTCTGAAGTAGCTACCGTGGAATTTATTTCAAAAGTCACAATGGACTCTAATCAAGTTTCGAAGCAGTTCTTCCTTCTATTTTATTTCCTTTGTTCTCCCTTACAATATCAAGGCCAACCTTGAAGAGGCAAGGAAATATTACAAAAAAAGTTACCAATCATGAGGAGATGAGAGCCCAGGCAGTGTGACCACTTTGCCTTGGTCATTTTGGAGGTGGGGTTACAGAGGGCATGCCCAAGATCTTTGTGTGTGCGCCTCAACCGCAGAAGTTTTAAGATATTAGCTAATGAATATTTGCCACCAGGTGCTTGCGGTCACTGCCCAGATGATGCCCTGGTATAGTGATTGAGAAGTGCATTGAAAATTTCACTGCATATAGTCTTTAAAATGACAAACATCATTAGTGACTTGTGGTAATGTATTTGTGTTTTCTTCAGGCCAGTGGAGAGAGAGTGAATTTAACAATTGCTAGACCAGGGAAGCCCCAGCCTGGTAACACCATGAGAGAAGCAGGAAATCATAGCAGCAGCAGCCAGCACCACACACTACCACCATATTACAGCAGACCAAGCTCACATAAGGTAAGAATTTTTTTTTTTTAATGCCACTATCAAAGGATCATTGTTACAAGCTGATAAGATTTAAATGAAGTTTTTTTGTATGTCAGTTATACCTCAGTAAAGCAGTTTTTTAAAAAAGATTCCAGTGAGCGTTGTTTTTCTGTTGGAAAAGGTAAATATAGGTGTTTAGAATGTGAAATGTATTTATTTTGCTACTTTGGATAGTGACTGCTTTATTTCTTAGAACTAGAGATAGTTTCTTGGAGGGGAAGTTTCCTTTGCTAGGTGATTAATGAGAAGCATGAAATCTTCTATTTGTTTAATCTTACTTGAAAGTGAAATTTATCTCGGGTTGCTTATTTAAATGTATGAGTTGGTTATTGAAATGACATAATGAAGACAAGATTGACAAATCCATACTTAGCAATTGAGCCTGTTGCCTACAAAACCAGAATTAGAAGTGTGAATATTAAACATATGAATCAGGAATTTCGATAGGTACATATAGAATATTTCTTTTTGTTAAAGCTTAGAGGAATATTATCCTAAATCATTTAAAATTCCCATATGTTAAGATTTGTTACTGTTTCTTCAGAATCACTATTTCAGTGGTTTTATGATGTATTCCACATTTGTCTGTCTGAGCTGAGAATTTTGATGCTACCTCACTTTCAGTCCAAAAATCTGAAAGGATGGTCCTTTAGCATTCTTTATATTATTTACTTCATTTGATCCTTTATTTGAACACTTAACTTCCAGTAAGCCAGGAGTTTTAAACAATAATGTTATGCTTACCTAATTGTGTGAAAATAAAGGCTATATGTGAGCTAGCAAAGTAATTCTCCTTAAGTAAAATTAAATTGTTTTACTAAACAAAAACTTATTGTCACCTGAAAGTACAACATTTGAGTGAATAATTATCTTTAGAGTCTGTCTCTGGTACCCTAAGACAGCACTAGCTTAAAGACAATCTTTTTGGCCCATCAGGTTTATATGGTTTTCTGAGCTTAAGTTCTATACAGACTTGTCACTGGTCTTTGGTTTAGTTAATACTTAAAATAAATTATAATCACAGAGTTCATTCTCATTTCTGAGCAAAACCTGAAATGTATGAAGGAAACCTGTAATTTGCCTTTAAATAATGACTGTGGAAAAGGGGTAATTGTTTTAACAGGAAATTTTGAATAGGCGTTGTTTCATATAGCCAGTCCTTGCTTTACAAGTTTTGTATACATGTAAAACTATAAGGTACAAGTTGATAATTGAATCTTCTATGTTATTGAACTTTATAATAATTTGAGATATTGGTATATATAACAACATTATAGTTTTAAGAGACTTTGAAAGACTGTACTTAATAATTAATTCCGGTATTCATATAGCAAACTCTCCTTATTTCAGTTTTGGACACATGTATTTTTCTGTTATAACTATACTAATTCTCATTCTCTTTAATTTTATATGACTGTTCTAAATAGCAGTGCTTAATTTATCCTTATGCCAGGCACTCTGCAAACCTGGCTGGTTAGAGCAACCACTTGAAATGGAATGTGTTTGTTTAGCTATTTACTACAGTATCTCTATTTGTTATGTCAAATCCTGATATAGTAAAGATCTCCTAGGGAAAACACATACCAATTCACCAAAACAACCTTTTCAGACAATTATAATCATTCTAAAAAATTAAAGGATATATTAGTCTACTACAAAGCTTCCCAGTAGCTGTTTCAATAAACATTCATGTGGTTTTAGGAAGTTCCTTGAAGTGTAGTGAGTATAATCTTTGAAGTTTGGTTTGGTTCCTGGGGAAAAACTACATACATTTCAGTCACCTAGGGTAATAAAACACTCACCCTTAATTGCTTAAATATCTAAGGACTGAACCTGCTTAAATAAATACACTCCAGGCTGCGTTTGCCTGAGTTATCTTTAGAATAAAGTTGTGTTTGCCAAATTTTGAAGGCTGCTGACATAAATTTCATACCTTTAGATAAGAGAGCACCTTAAAATGTTTACAAATTTTCTCCTTGGTCATAAAATTTTCTGAGAATACTGTGCTGCTATTACAAATGTAAATTTCAAGAGTATAGATTTCACGTCTAGAGAAGTGTAGATAGGTCTAGAATTCCAGGCCCTGATTTAGAGATTTGATAAATGCCATTGTTAACTGTTAAATACCTGTCAATTCTTAATGTGATTTAAGGAAATGTTATAATTGTGTAAATATAATTTGTATTTTTTATTTTTTATATATTAACAATGTTAATTATCTGTAACATTCTGTTAACAGTTGATAAGTGTTAAAACCTTTTGAGTCATTATCTTGTGCTATACACAATGGAATAGTTCTTGTGTAGGTGCATATATACAATATGTACACGTAGTCCATCAGACTATATGGATATATACAAAATATGTATTTGCATTAATATATATTGTACATACTTTTAACACACATAAGTTTTGAATCCCAGGACAGTTGCCAAAATTAAAAGATTTGGGACAAGCTTCATGACCTCCCTAAGCTTGTTTCATCATCAGTAAAATGGGGTCAATAATACATACTTTTAATACTTTCATGAAGGTTAAAAGAAATAATGCAGTAAAGGCATTAGCTTTTCACAGGTTAAGCTCAAATGTTATTTTAATATTAATATTGCATATGTACATCTTATTTTTTTACTGAGTTCTAACTCAAAAGAAAAGTGACGTTTTATATTCTTTTACTTCCAGGAGTGTCTCAATAATAAGTAATAGTAACAAATGTCAGTAAAAATAGGAGAATACTAGTTTGTTGGGAATTTATTTCCCTCGTCAGTGACTTTTTCAAAAATTGAGTCATTTCATATCCTTTCAGCTTTTCATGAAGATTTTGAAGGTAGATTTGCACCTTTTTTATTATTGAATACTCATAGTCCTAGTCAGTAAGAATAGGAAGATAGGTCGATGGTCTTTTTCTCACAGTTACCAAAATCTACACTGTACTTTTGTACTACTCTGTCAACTTTTCTTTCAAATAAATGGGGAGAAAGATGGCAGTAAAAGTACTTGATTTGTCTTCAGATTCTTAAAACTCAAAAGCATCATTTACTTTTATGCAATAGATGAAATGTGAAGCTCAAATTATACCAACGATGTGTTTATTTTACTTTGACTGCCATATTTTAGCAGTCCTGAGTTTTTCACTTACATAAACCGTCATATGAAAATAACATAGTCCAAAATTTGACATTGATCCACAGTAGACTTATTAGGAACTGTATATTACTTTCATTTGCAAGCAAGGAATAAAAATAATCACTTTATAAATGCCATGTAAGTTATTACCTTAGTTTGAAGTAATAACTTCAACTATATTTTATTATTATCCAATAATTTTTTTTCTTGTGTGTTTTAGGATCTTACTCAGTGTGTTACATGCCAAGAAAAACACATTACTGTAAAGAAGGAACCACATGAGTCCCTTGGCATGACTGTTGCTGGGGGCAGGGGAAGTAAGAGTGGTGAGCTGCCCATCTTTGTGACTAGCGTGCCGCCCCATGGCTGCCTTGCACGAGATGGCAGAATCAAGAGAGGTAAGATGGGACCTTAAAAATTTTTTACCACATCTTATTTCTGAATTAACGCACATTTTTAAAAGTAAAGAGTATCTACAAAGTATCTATTAAATGTGACTTTTTAAAATCTTTTAAACTGTCCCTTGCATATGAAAGCATAAAGTCATTCTATGAGGTTAGAAAAATGCCTTATATAAAGAAAAGTTGCTGAATTTCGATGACAGTTTCAGAATTTGCTAACCTTTACTGAGACTCTTGGATTATTTTATCTTGGGAAAAGATCCTCTAGCATTACAGCAGACTTAGGTACTCTGAAGGGCCATCTCACTGAAAAATAAATGTTTCTTTTAATAAAGTGTCTATGTAGAAAGGGACTCAGAGAGGAGGTGGAGTGGAAGACAAACTTAATTTTAGGGATAAATGCTTTTGCCATTTCATATCCCTATCAATGCTATATAATTTGTATAGATGGGGGTTGCAGTTAGCCACTATTAGCATGGTAAAAAAAAAAAAATAGCAGTCTCCATTGACTTAGTTTGTTTATAAGGTAAGAAAAGTGACTCTGAAAACGTTTTTCCAGGATGAGGTTGAATCCCTGCCTCACACCATAAACACAAGTTAAGCCATGATGAATTCAAGACCTAAATATAAGAGCTGAAACTCTTAGAAGAAAATACAAGTGTAAATCCTCATGATTTTGGATTAGGCAGTAGTTTCTTAGATATGAGACCAAAAGCAAAAGCAGCAAAGTAAAATATAGACAAACCAGACTTGAAAACTGCAAACTTTTGTGCTGCAAAGAATACAACTAAGGAAATGAAAAAATAACCCACAGAATGGGAAAAACATTTGCAAATGATATATATGACAAATGGCTTGTGTCTAGAATATATATTCTTACAACTCTAATTAAAAAGACAGAAAACACAATGTAAAGATGGGAAAAGAATCTGAATAGACATTTCTCCAAAGAAGATAAATAAATGGTCAGTATTCCCATGAAAAGATGCTCAGGCCAGGTGCGGTGGCTCAAATCTGTAATCCTACCACCACTTTGAGAGTCCAAGGCAGGTGGATCACTTGAGCCCAAGAGTTTGAGACCAGTCTGGGCAATATGAAACAACGTTGTCTCTACAAAAAATAGAAAAATTAGCCAGCTGTGGTGGTGTGAACCTGTAGTAGTTCCAGTTACTCAGGAGCTGAGGTGAGAGGATCACCTGAGCTCCAGAGGTCAAGGCTACAGTGAGCTGAAATCATGCCACTGCACTCCACCCTAGACATCAGAGTGAGACCCTGTCTCAAACGCAAATCAAAACCACAATGAGATACTACTTTACAACCAGTAGGATGACTATAATAAAAAGGACAGCCAGTAACAAACACTGGCAAGGATGTGGAGAAACTGAAACCCTCATTAATTGCTGGTGGGACTATAAAGTGATACAGCTGTTTTTGGAAAACAGTTTGGCAGTTCCTCAGAGAGTTAAACTGATTCCTCATATAGTTACCATATGACCCAGCAACTCCAATTTTAGAGAAATGAAAACAGCTGTCCATATGAAAACTCATACCAGTTCATAGCAGCATTATTTACAATAGCCAAAAAGTGGAAACAACTCAGATGCCCATCAGGTGATGAATGGATCAATGGAATGTGGTCTACCCATACAACAAAATATTATTTGGCCGTAAAAAAGACTGAAGTACTGGCACAAATTACATGGATGAACACTGAAGATGTTATGCAAGTAAAAGAAGCTAGATGTAAAAGACCATGTATGATTCCATTTACATGAAGTGTTCAGGAGAAGCAAATCTGTAGAGACAGAAAGCAGATTAGTGGTTGCTTAGGGTTGGGGAAGGGGAGTGACTTCTGATGAGTATGGAGGGAGTGATTAAAATGTTCTTAAAATTACTGTAGTGATAGTTGTACAACTGTGAATATACTGAAACCACAAAATCATATTCTTTAAGTGGGTGAATTGAATGGTATGTGAATTATATCTCAAGCTGCTATTAAGAAAAGATCATTTGTCCAGTTGTAGAATTGGCGTAATTTTATTTCCTTTTTGTTATTGTATTTCCTTTTTGTTATTTTATTATGTTTTCTAAATTTTCTACAATGAAAACGATTTGCTTTCCTAATCTAAAAAATCGATGATAAATTTGGAGAGAGAAATTTCTGTAGACTTTGTAGCACAAATGTCTGCTTCCTACAAAACTAATCCTTTCCTAACCTTTGATATAATCCTCATTGCTGTTTTTTAATATATTACTTAGCAGAGCAACAGTTCTTTTCTTCCTCAAACAGGGGAAAACATTCAAACCACAAGTTTCATTTCTTTGTGTGAGTCCAGGGACAGCTTCTCTGTACATATTCTGATGTTTGCCCTGAGTGAACTCTGCAGGGCTGTCCTTATGTATGGAACAGTATAAAGTCAAATAAATTAAAAATTTATTTCTAAGGGCAGAGGATCAAATGATTTTTGATTGGACAGAATTGTAGAAATCTCTGAAACTCCAAGAAGAGAAATGAACCTCCCCAGCGCCTATGCACAGCTAAATTCAGACTGATGATTCGGACTTCCAGTCATGTCAGGGTTCCTCAGGCCACACTTTTTTCCATGTATTATGACATTATTTTAAAATTGTGAAATGTTTTCTATGTTGGGTTTCTTCTCAATATTATAAAAATTACAAAGAAATAATAAATGCCTTCTCACCTTATCTAATCAGAATTGTGGGCACTAACTTTTGTTGCTCAGTTTGTAAACAGCAAGATTTGCAGGTGAATACTCAGTGGCTCAGCTCATTTTTCTTGTTTCTTCATCTGAAAGGTGATGTGTTGCTGAATATCAACGGCATTGATTTGACCAATTTAAGTCACAGTGAGGCAGTTGCCATGCTGAAAGCCAGTGCTGCGTCCCCTGCTGTTGCCCTTAAAGCACTTGAGGTCCAGATTGTTGAGGAGGTGACTCAGAACACGGAGGAGCAGCCAAGTACTTTCAGCGAAAATGAGTATGACACTAGTTGGTCCCCATCATGGGTCATGTGGCTTGGGCTTCCAAGGTACTGAGTGCTTTCTTCTTGTTTGATGGAAATCATAATCATACTTGCAACCCTTATGAGACTGTAGCATAATAAATTTACCCATTGGGAGAAAAAAATCTTCAACTCAATAAAAGTAGGAACATCAAATCAAATTACAAAAGAAAATGGTAATTTTTCTTAGGAGAGTACATTTTAAAAGGTACACAAAGAAAGCAGTTGTGTCCATTCCTATTAAGGCTCCTCAGCGGGCTAGCCATGAGATTGGATAACCCCGTCTCTTGCTTAGAAAACCTGTCATTTACCAACACTCATTCTGCTATGTGCTCAGAGTTGGTGCATTTTTCATCAGGAAAACCAGGCCAATCTTGGGGCATCCCCCCATCCCAGAAGCCATTCTTAAACACCGTTTAAAATCTTTTAACTCTCCCTAAAAAGGTAGCATTTAAACTCAATTTTTATTGGACACAGGAGTCTAGTAAGCCAAACCATTAGTGTTCAAGAATGACTGTTCCACTTTTACTTTTTACAAATGTGACCAGCCAACATATGCTGTGGTTGATCAGTGTTGGGGTCACAGAAACACATGGAACCCCCAGTGGCATCCCAAGGTACATTCCTTTCCCCAGTCAGGCAGCTGTTTGACATATGAAGAATGTGTGTTCCTATCACTATTTGTTGCCTAATCCATTTAGATTCTTATTGTTCTAAGAATCCTAAAACTGAAGTATGAAGCATTTTGATTCTTGACCAAGTATGAAAATTATTATTTAAAATAAAAATAAGCAATAAGAATTTGCTATTTTCTGAGCCATCTGACTCATGGAATATATTTATAATAACAACTAGCATTTGTATATTTCAAGGCCCTTTGCCCATAGTGGGTGAAAAGTGGTCTACTTGTGCAGTGGCTGGCAGCGTGTTGCAGACCTCAGAGCTTGTCTGCACCTCTATTGATGGGGCAAGCAGAGAGCAGCAGCATCCTGGAGAAACTTGGTCCCTAGTGCTTCCTTTAATTTTCCTTATCTGTATACCAGTCTAGTTTGGGGGTTGGCATGTTGAGCTCTTTGTTCAGAGTATTTTCTGGTGCGCTAGGCATAACAGCAAAGATTTTAGATGAGAAAAACACAGTATTGTAAAATCTGTTTTTGAGCCCACCTGTGTGGAAAGAATACCTGTCAATAAAAAGCTACTATTCTATGTATGTATGGCGGTCTCTGTTGAATGCAAAGCTATATTCAACAGCCACGTGTCCTCCTCAGTGGGTGCAAAAGGCACTTAAATGCAGGTTTCACGCCGCATAGGGTAGCAACTCTGCTCTGTTTTTCTTGGAAAGGGAAAGCCTTCCACTGCAATTTGCTGGGGTATGCCAGAGAGCTGTTTGTTTCGGAAGATACAGCATTAGAAAAATAACCAACACTGTCACTTTAAATCCAGGCCAGTGCATGGGACCTTGTTTCATCCCAGTAGACTTTCTTATCAATGAGCTAAGAAACTAGATAAGATGAGAAGTTCTGGCATGGTAAACATTGCTTTATAAAATCAGCTCTTTAATCTGTTTTATGGATTAGAAACAGGAAACCTTGCCTTCCATCCATTTAGATCCAGTTTCACATAAAGTTGAAAGATATTTATTTATTATAAAAAGATTTTTTTCTGTATCATTCAGGTGTGGGTTTTTTGTTTGTTTGTTTGTTTGCTTTGTTATTAAGTTGTTACTCACTGTGTTTGTTCCCAAATCCATAGAGCTATGAAAACATAAGCACATTTTTTTTTTTCTTCCTCTCTGGACACATCCTCCAATATGGCAGTAGCATTCTAACTAGTTTCTCAGTGTCTATGATACATTATATATGTATATGTGTGTATACATGTGTATATATTTTCTTTTTTTTAAGAGATGAGATCTTGCTCTGTTGCCCAAGCTGGAGTGCAGTCGTGTGATCATAGCTCACTGTAGCCCCAAGCTCCTGGGCTCAAGCCCAGCCTTCCAGTTGCTGGGATTACAGGCACATGACACTGTACCCAGCTTGTCTATGATAGAGAGAAAAAAAAAGAAAAATATTTTTTGTTAGTGTTTTTCGGATTGATTTATCTATTTTGGCAATTAGATAAAATGCCCTTAAAATGAAAACATTCTAAGTAAAGGAGAAAAGAACAAATAACTCCTCATGTAGACTAAAAGCCTATAGGATCTTCAGAAAAGAGGGAAGATAATTATCTGCCTTCTTTTTGGAAGCTACGCGCCTGGTCTTTTTCTTCTTTCATTCGCGTGCTGGACTTGGCAGTCCTAGACCTGTTTCATCCCACTTTAATTCTTCTTGTAGATAAAAGTGATTAGTAGAATTGAGGAGTTTGCTGACAATGCAGTGAGCAGATATAGGTACATAACCTTTTTGTACAGGTTACTGAGGCATAGTTTGTAACCAGGTTCTCTACTTGTGTGTATGTGTATATGTCTTCACTTGGGAAGACTGAAAAAAGCTGGGGAAATTTGAGTCTACTTAGGACTGTGTCTGTGCTAGAAAATGGATTTTCAAAATAATCTACTCAGAAGGAAGTAAATAGCCCTTTTTCTTTTATCCAGGAGTGATAAAGGTAATATGGTATGGGGTTATAACAAAAATGAGCGGCTATAAAAGCCTCCACATTTATTTTTTCTTTATTTTTGTTTTTGTTTATAGTACACTTCATAGCTGCCACGATATAGTTTTACGAAGAAGCTACTTGGGAAGTTGGGGCTTTAGTATCGTTGGTGGATATGAAGAGAACCACACCAATCAGCCTTTTTTCATTAAAACTATTGTCTTGGGAACTCCTGCTTATTATGATGGAAGATTAAAGTGAGTCTTCTTCTAATTAATGATATGATTTATGTTGATAACACTGGGCATGATCTAGACCAGGGGTCAGGGGTGAGCACCAAATCCAGCCCATTATCTGTTTTTGTAAACAAAGTTTCAATGCAGTGCAGCTAAATTACTGGTGTATGTACTATCTGGCTTCCACACTGCAACAGCATGGTTGATATCATCGTGACAGTGAGTGTATGGGTCTTGAAGCCTAAAATATTTACTACCTAACCCCTTACAGAAAAAAAATTTGCCAATCCTGATCTAGACTGAAGTGTTACCTTTACTATCTTGTCACTTACACATATAGTTCATTAATCTGATAACAGAAAATGAACCTGAGTTATTTCACTGGACATGTTGTGATGTAACATTGAGCGCTGAGTAAGTTTCCCACACAGCCTTCTCAGGTCCAGTCCTGTCATTAGATGACTCTGCTTTATTTTTCTCCACAGCACTCATCTCTACCTGAGATCATATTTATGCAAGCTCCATGAGGGAGGGATCTTGTTGCATTTATTGTTATATCCCTAGCAGCCATAACAATACCTTGCATAAAGTAAGATCTCAATAAATATTTGATGAATGAATGTATAATAACTTATGGGATGCCAGGCCCAGTGCTAAGTGCTGTGCATGCATTATGTAATCTTCTTAACAATCCTATGAGGTTAAGTTTCATTGTTCCTGTTTTAAAACAAACAAGGTAACTGAGGCCTGGAAAGGTTAAGAAACTTGCCCACAATGAAATAGCTGAAAGTGGTTGGCTGGCATTCAAACCCAGGACTGTCTGGCTCTAGATCCCTGGCCTTTAACCCCTCTGCCAGCTGCCACCACTGAGCAAAAGTCCTTGCTCACTGTACAACGTCTTCCTTATCAAAGATTGGGCACTGGGAGAAGAAAGAGAAGGTGTCATGGCAAGAGATCATCACCAGCAGAGAGGAGGTGGTTGATTTTAAGTTCTTAGTCCCTGTTTATGAACCAGTTCTTAAAAAGTAAATGTTGACATTCTATATAGAATGCTATGCAAATAGAGAATTTACTCTGTTTGCAAGGAGTAAGTGACATCTAAATAATGTGTGGAAAGGTGATTAGGAGTGGTATGGTCCAGGTCAGCCTATATTGATAAAGGTGAAAAAAATCATTTTAGGAGGAAAGAGTGGGGAAAAATGGATTAATCACTCTCCTAGCTAAGTTACTCAACCAGTCTGGGCCTCTGTTAATTATAATTTGTATTCCTTCTACTTCCACAAAGAAATTGAAGTAGTTAACAATAAAGTAGCATATTTATGGTATAAATAGAAGACCAAAAACCATAAGGATAATTATGATAATTATAATCATAAGGCTGGAAAAGTCCTTCGATTCATCATCCATCCACGATAATTCTACTTAGAGTACAGTGAGTGTCAACAGCTGAAAGAAGAGGAAGTATGGGTCTTATTTCCAATTTAATTCAACCTTCAGACGTATGAGCTCTAAGAATGAATAGGGAAATGGCAGTCAAAAGAATAAGCAACCCCCTTCAAATGAATGACTTTTTTTTTTTTTTAAGAGAGAGCACATTTACTCTATATTTTGCTTAAATTAGTGTGAAAATTACTCTGCTTGCCCTTGACATTCACCTACTGGTTTTGGAGTGGTTGGCACAGGGGTTTCCTTGATTGGCAAGGGAGAGCCAGCATAGGCTTAACAGCTGTCCCAGACAAAGTAGATAATACACCCTAATCATTGACAGTTAAATGGTAAGTGAAACTGCGTCTTTCATGCAAAATAAATCCCAATTGGAATATTTTTAATACCATGAAAATAGTAACATTCTGTGTCTGTCTCTTTTTGTCCAGGTGTGGCGACATGATCGTGGCCGTAAATGGGCTGTCGACTGTGGGCATGAGCCACTCTGCACTAGTTCCCATGTTGAAGGAGCAGAGGAACAAAGTCACTCTGACTGTTATTTGTTGGCCTGGCAGCCTTGTATAGGTTTTGGAAATTGGTTTTGAATCTTGTGTCTTCCTTTTTTTAGGTTTTTGAAAGAAAACTCTTTGGTTTCATTGTGTTTGTGGTTGTTAGGAGGTGCTGACACAGCTGGTATACACAGGGCCAAAACCCACTAAGATTGTCCTTTTATGTTTATTTAAATTGTTTCCTGAGTTAGTTACATTTCTTTTAGCTTGAAAGTCTTCCACTAACCTTTGCAAGTTTATATTTTCAGAATTCAGACTTAGTTGTTACAATGTTACCTATGGTAATGAGCCAAGCTCCCCCAAACTGTGCCCCAGCTGGAGTAAAGACCTTCGGGTAGGTCTTTGTTTTCAGTAACTGAATCATAGAATAAGTTATATATCCCTCAGGCCTGATGTCAGCGAAGCCAGTAACAACAGCGTGTACTGCCACTGTCATGACCAATGCCATGAATGAGGATACTTTAAATTTTGGTGATAACTGGTCCCCATTTTTTTTTATTGGTGCCAACATTTCAAAACTTCATAATGTTTATCAAGTGATTTTCTGGTTTATTTCTACTATAATCTCTCAATGCTTATAGAAGATGGAGAAATAAGTCTGACAACACTAAAGAGATTTCTTAAATAATATACTATTATTAGAATAGTAGAGAATAAAAGATAATGTTACCCAGTTACAAAGGAATTTGGATGGTAATTACAGCTTAATGTTAGAGATGGTAAAGCTGCACTTGAACAGCCCAAAAGCATAAAAATCTATTTCCAAAGGAATGTTTTGCTCTGTAGGGAAAATCTGAAGTAGTTTTTGCCAAAAATAATTTCTAGAGTTGTATTATTCTTAGTAGTAATCTTGGCTAGAAATGTTTTTGTGATTTATCCGATTAAATGAGATGATAAAGATAAAACCATATTATTATTCAATACATATATATTACAGCTAAGTAAGAGAAAGGGAGACCTTTTATTTTACTCAGGTAGAAGTCTTTGTGTATTTTAGAAACAATTATTTTTCTCATTATTTCTTAAGAGCTTAGCTGTTTCAAGTAGGAGACAGAAAGTTCCCTTTTATTGGAAATGTATGTTCTGATGTGTCTTCAAGTCAGCTCTCGGTCACGAGACTATTTCATATTTTTGAAATGTTTTTGAAAACTATGACTAACCCATTTTTTTTTTTGTCCTTTATTCGACATACTTATCCTCTGAAGAACACACAAATAAGTGAATAAGATAAAAATATCTTTACCTTATTAATATGCATACTTGAAAAAAGTTTCATTTAGAAACCTAGTTCAGAATCTGAGCTAATTTACAAGTGACCTCTGTAACAAATGGTATTGATAATCAGAGAATGTATTTCAGAATACTACAGTACAATATATTATGACGCATGACCGCTTTATTTTCAGACTTAGCAATTGCATTGCTGGGGTTTATTGTATCTGTAGCATGTCACTGATTATTTCAGTTAGTTTTGTAATGATTTAAAAAAAAAATCTTTGAAATAAATAAGATACAGCAACAATCATTGCTACTGACTTGTTCAACCCCCTAGTTACACTGTATGGTCAACATATAACAAGATACAGTGGAATGCCCCATACAGTATATTACTGTCATGTGATGATTGGCTTTGGAAGCAATTTGATATTGAAATGCTTTGATATTCTAACTGACATGGAACAAGTTTTTTCCCTGCTCCCCAAATAGAATTTTGTAATCAACTTTGCTATTTTTTTAAAGTTTGTAACAATGTGTCATTTCTTGGGGAGTAGCCATCCATCAACAAATATCCTGACTGCTACTTTGTTATACACAAAATACTTACATTGAACCTGGTGGCATAATGAGTATTTTGAAAGAAGACATTTTTTTCACTATCATTTTTATCATAGAAATCTTGGAATCAGCTTAAGCTGTAGCTTTTATGACAAAAGACAGTCATTTTTTGCTCAGAGTGATATTTGGTGATGGAAACTTGTTCATAATTTATTGTTACTATAGAACTATTTGGATTTTCTCATTTTTAGTTCGATAGTTGAATATTTTGGTTTGTTCTGTGCCTTCAGTTTAAATTATTTCAGGATTTTTCAGATGTTTAAATCATGGTGTGAATCATTCAGGATGGAAATAAACGTCATCCTTTCCATAATAGTAACATTGTCTCTTTTCTTGAACAGTAGCTGTGGCTTAGTCTGTGATCTGTATTTTTGTTGGTGACGCCACTGTTCTTACAGTATACTGAGCATGAAACCTCAGGATCACAAACCCACCTTATTCCCACAGTTTGTTTTTCTTTTTCTTTTCCTTTTTTTTTTTTTTTTGGAGACAGTCTTGCTCTTTCACCAGGCTGGAGTACAGTGGCATGATCTTGGCTCACTGCAACCTCTGCCTCCTGGGTTCAAGCAATTCTCCTGCCTCAGCCTCCCAAGTAGCTGAAACTACAAGTGCCCACCACCAGACCTGGCTAATTTTTGTATTTTTAAGAGATAGGATTTCGCCATGTGGGCCAGGCTGGTCTCAAGCTGCTGACCTCAGGTGATCCACCTGCCTCCGCCTCTCAAGTCGCTGGGATTACAGATGTGAGCCATTATGCTCGGCCTCTTTCTAATATGGTTACTAGGAAAAAAAATTTTTTTTAATTGAAAGAAAGTTGTCTCCTTTTCTAGTAAGTAAGTTCAAACCAAGGCTTCTGTGGTCAGACTACCAGTCCGATTTTCCAGATGACTCTGTGGTGCTGTTTACCCTCCCTCACTCCAGCAGCCTCCTCAGAGCACACAGCCCCATCCCCACTCCACCCCACCCCAGTTCCTGCCTCCAGCACACACAGTAACTGTAAAGCTTCTCCTCTGCTGGTTCACGTTGTACCCAAGCCGGAGTGAGGGCTTAAATGATGCTCCATCTGTCTCACTCTCAACCCCACTCCCCACTTTCCTTCCTAATGGTGAATCTCCTAGGCCTTTGTCTATGCATTTCTTCTGGCCTCGATCTCTTGCTACCTAATTATTGTTAGAGTTTTAAATACCATCTTAACCCTTGCAACTTTGAGTACCACTGACACCTGAGTCTACAGCTCCCACAGTCCACAGCCTAAGACAGACACCTTAGATCTCAGCACCTCCAAAACTGAAATCTGTGCTTTCCCAAGCATTTGCCTACTTCCTATCTCTTCATCTTTCAATCCAAACTCTTAAGCCCTCAGATTAACTTTTCTAAACCCCAACTCTAATCATATCCTTGCCCTGTTTAAAAATCTTCATTTGTTCCATGTTGTCTGCAGGATAAATGAAAAGGCTAGGTGCAGCACAAAAGGCTTTTCGTGGTCTGGCCCCTTGCCTGCCCCTGTGGCCTATTTCCCACCCTTTCTTGCTTCCTATATAAACCACCAGCCCACACATATCCCCTGCGCTCTGCATCTGCAGGGGCTGACTTGGCTCAAGTGACACCACTCTTTGGAGAAATCCTTATCAATCTCTCTGGGCAAGCTTTTTCTGGCTCCTTTTAAAGATTTCATTAAGTTACACATTTATGGTCATAGCTGTATGCAAGGGAGAAGAAAACAAACTTGCCAAGTAGATGCTGGATTACCCCATCTGTGGCAGGTTTTTAAAACTAGACAAATGTCAGAGATTCTGTCGCTTCCGAAGAGCTCAAGACATTGCCAAGATAGAGTCTAGGCTTCATGTCTTTTTCTGTTCCAGGAGTCTACAGTATGTTCAGTCATCATGTCTCCTTATTCTCCTTGTGGCTGTGCCCTTTTCTTAGACTTTCCTTGCTCATGAGCGTTCTGGGAATGCTGATGCTGGTCAGGTATATTGCAAGTTACTCCCTATTGGAATTGCTGTTTTCTCTTGTTATCAGACTGGCAAATGGGTTTTTGGAGCAAGATCCCCAAGGTAAAATGCTGTTGTCCTCATATCAAGGATACCTCCTGTCTGTGTGATTTATGGCTGCTGAGGTTGGCCTCTACCACCAGGCCTCTGCACTGCCCGTCCCGTTTCTCCACAATCGGCATGCACAGTGCATGCTTGAGCAGTGGGAGTTATTCTCTCCCTTCGTTTATCTTTGAGCTGGTCAGGAAAATTGAGGGCTCTTGTGCTGCTTAGGGAGCACCTTGTGGGTAGAAGGCAGGTAGAAATCCTTGGTTAAGAACATCAGGGGCAATAGGCCAGGTCAGATGCATTGGCTCATGCCTGTAATCCCTGCCACTTTGGGAGGCCAAGGCAAGTCAATCACTTGAGGTCAGGAGTTTGAGACAAGCCTGTCCAACATGTTGAAACCCTGTCTCTACTAAAAATACAAAAATTAACCAGGTGTGATAGCAGGTGCCTGTAATCCCAGCTACTCAGGAGGCTGAGGCACAAGAATTGCTTGAACCCAAGAGGTGGAGGTTGCAGTGAACCGACATCACACTACTGCACTCCAGCCTGGGTGACAGAATAAAACTCCATCTCAAAGAAAAAAAGATATCAGGGACATATTTCATATTTTTAAAAAACTCAGCCAGGCACAGTGGCTCATGCCTGTAATCCCAGCACTTTGGGAGGCTGAGTTGGGAGGATCACTTGAACCTGGGAAGTCCAGGTTGCAGTGAGCCGCAATTGCTCCACTGCGCTCCAGCCTGGACAACAGAGCAAGACCGTGTCTCTAAAAATAAATAACCCTCCCTTGATTCTGCTATTCATAGTAAAGTTTCCCAAAAGAGTTGTCTCCATTTTGCCTTCTTTAGCTATTTTTAATTCATAACAGTTTTTCTGACACAAACAAAAGTTAGAAATAATACAGTGAACACTTGTGTACCCCACCACCCAGCTTAAATGTAAGCAGGGCCACTGCCATTCAGCTTCCTTCTCCATTTGTGTCTACCTTGTCTCTTTCCCATTGTTTCTTTGTAGTTACACTACATATTTATGTATCATTCAAATATAGTAGTATTGTGTGTATGCTTTTAAGTATGTAAATGATGTGCATATGTGGTGTTCTGAAACTACTTTTGCTGCAAGATTCATGCATGTTTATGTAGTTCAAGTTTTTATTCTTATTCAATGATATGACAATTTTCTATCCATAGTTTAGTTATTTGGTATTTAGGTTATTTTTTTCTTTTCATAATTAACAGTGCTGGTGGGAGCACTCAAAAACAAGTTTTCATGTGCATGTGGAGAGTTTCTGCAGGGCAGTGATTCTCATTTAATCCTGGCTGCACACAAGAATCTCTTAGGGAGCTTCACTGATTTAGTTGGTCTGGACTAGGGCTTGGATATCAGTTTTGTTTGGTTTTACGTGTTCCTCAGGGGGTTTATATGCAGCCATAGTTGAAAACCACTGCTGTGGGAATTGCATTGCTGGGTTTTAGAGTAGGTGCATCTTTATGAGGTAATGAATTTTCTCATACTAACATACATTTCCACTAGTAACTGGGTGAGTTTTGTTGATCTACATTCATGCTAACATTTGGTGTTCTCAAACTGAAGAGGGTGAAAATGGCATCCCACTGTGACTTCAAGTCACATCTCCCTGTTTGCTGGTGAAGTCAAGTGCCTTCTCACATGTTTACTTGTCTTTCAGGTCTCTTTGGTGAATAACCTGTTTGACCATTTTCTAATGGGCTATTTGTGTTTCTCTTTTTGATGTATAGACATTCTGTATTCTGGATGTTAATACTTAGTGGATGACGTGAGGCATAAATATCTTCTCCCAGTTTGTGACCTCTTTTCAACTGTAATGTTGTGATAAACCAAAGTTCGTCATTATAGTGTGGACAAGTGTATGAACAGCATATAAGCAGATTATTTTCTGTTACTTTTGGAATTTGTTATTTCCCCAAGTGTTGTCCATTTATGTTATTATATGTTTTCTTTCCATCCAACATTAATTTACCCTGCTTCTCTGTGCTTCGTGTTTTCTTTTACTGAATTATAGCTGCTTCTGTTCACTTTGCAGCTACCCTTGAATTTTTCTTCGTGCATATTTAGCATAAAGCTTCAACTTGATCAGTAGCTCTATCCCCTCCGCACAATACACGTGACTCCAACTACCCTGAGGTCTGACTTAGTGGCCAGCGTTGTCGCTCCTCCTCATTCTCCTCTCCAGTTAGCAGTATTTTAATTGTTGTATTCTGTTAGGGTTTGGTTAGATTTCATTTCTGAGCCGTGTAAAATACTGAAAGGCTGATGCAAGCACAGCTTATGATAGTTCGTAACATTTCAGTAACGTCCCACAAAGGACACGTGGGCAACAGCAGGCCAGAGTGGGATTTATGGCAGCACACTGACCCATACTATCTGGAAGTTGAAGTTGCCATCCAGATGTAAGGAAAGACTTCATAAAAGCTTGGGATGCAACATTTTCACCATCATATCGCTCATTTCCAAGCAGTCTGGAAATCACTTAAGCAATTTGCCATTTTCTGAGAGGGGTTGAAGGAAGGGCAGTTCAGCAAAGATCACTATCACCAACTTCTCTAGAGCAAATGCAACTTGCATTATAAATCCAGAGGCATGTTTTCATACGAAATTTTGGAAGGTAGATTTAGAGGGTTTCATTTTCTCGAGATACTGGGCACAGTGACCGGTTCTCAAACAGCCAAATCCTCCCTCTCCATCCTAGCTATTGCGCTTTTCTCACTAGAAGACCCTGAGGTCTGTTCATTCTATTGCTGAACCTTCAGAACTTGATATCCATTCTTTTATATGTGAAAGATAGAAAGGCTGCTGCTTTATGTTTGAAGCTGTAATCAGATACATGGCTGGTTAAAATTAAATCTGAAGTTGGCCTGAATTCCAGCTGCTATGGGCATTTCACCCATTTCATCATGCCTGACACCCATGCTGCAGTACAGTCCCTGTTAATTCAGACTTAACTAATTTGGAATCTGAAAGCTTAAAGAGAGTTGAAGCTAACTTGGCACTTCATTTAAGCAATAAGTATCTTTAATCAACATTTAAAAAATGGAAAGTGAGATATTTCAGCTGCATGCTAAAGTATACTGTTTCCAAGTTTCCTTAAGCCCTTGTAAAATACCCAGGCTCATTTGAGTGATGGATATGTTGCTTTCCATGGAATAATTTAAACAGTTTATCCAGCACATACTATGCATAACACATAGTGAGAGGTTCTGGGTCACTTCCTCACAACACCTCATTTCATCTTTT